AGATCTTTGTATTTATCGCTATAACTATTTATGTATCGCCAAATAATAAGATTAAAGATTCCATTGTTTACAAAAATAGAGTTTGAGTCTAATCGGTTTATATTTGGGACACAAAATATGCAAAGAGAATTTTGCAATCAAATTAGGGGCGGATTGGATTCAATTACTACCTTTATTGATTATGTCGAGTGGATCTTAAATATTATATTTTATTTCTCAATTATATTTACCATTTAAAACTTAATTAAAATAGTCTTCCATAAAAATACATAGGAAATATATCAAAGATGAAACGCTATTCCCCATTGTAAACGCGATGACGTTCATTACTTTGAAACTAATAATTTATATAAATTAAAACACATTTCCCATTATGACTCACTTCTCACACTTTCTTATCTACATAACTTTTCTCGACCTAAGGTTATATCGAGATGGAGGAGTAGTCGCAGTCGTGACTTGTTCTTCACGATTATCAGTCACGTGGCCATTACTCGAAATACCGTTGGTCTTCGGTGACGGGAGAGCATTCTTATGGGTGGATTTATCACCGTCCGATTCGCGCAATGGCTTCTCCATGTAAGTTCCAAGAAGGCGGTCCCAAAACGTGAAAAATGGCTGGGAGTAGTTTGTCTTTATTCCGTAACTTTGATGGTGAATGTCGTGACTAGCAGTGATGATGGGACGAGTAGGAATTAATAAACTGATGAAAGGGTTGCAGCGATGAAGAAAAATGCGGACAGTAACAGCGTGTGCACTCACTATGCAGCATTATTGCCAAAGATCATTTGAATTGGATTAAATGGCAATGCATATCCGCAATGATCGTCAACTACAAACACAATATAGTATAATTTAGCGTAAGAACATTTAACATACACTGGACTCATTACAGCCCAGACCCCAATACCAGACCAATGCCACTAATCATTCGCTGTCTAATCGATTCCCTTCCCTCCCCCTCACTCTTGCGTTTCGTACCAGTTTTCAGAGTTGCAAAACTAAAGAACACCATTCCTTCTCTCGTCGACATGCCCGTCAATTTGAAAGCTAATCCAGTACCCACAATATCCATTACAAATCCTTCAAGGGGGTGATTGTATAACGCTCCAAACGCATACGGGACGTAGAGACGATGATGGATAGAGTGAATGTGACGATACAAGGCCGGGGTGTTGTGTAAGAATCTATGGAAGAAGTATTGCCAGGTGTCTACAAACATCCTATTTAAATGAGTAGAGCATTAGAGACAGAAGTAAAGTCAAAAGATCTTTTTTGTGAGCTGTGATACCTGCCAAGTTTCAGTGCGTACGGTACCTCTATCTAATTTATCGCTAACGCGATTACCCCTCTGCAACAAATCCCATAAAAAATCACTTACATAGCAATAAAAAACTTCGTTAATGGCAACAAATACCAATAACACATCTCTGCCAGTACCCGCCCCAATTCCAGCTTTCCAAACATTCTTTCGATTCCACCCGTCAGCTTTTCCACCTCGGCCTCATCATCAACCAACATATCTTCGTCTTCTGCCATAAGAATCAGCAATCCAAACAATGTTTGCAGGACTTGCTGTATCAACACTGATTTGATAACCTCGGCCTTTGTCACTTTATTCCTCTTTTCAATCTCCGCGGGTGCGTGAATACGATATGGCTCAAATAAAGAGACTTTGTATTCGGAAACCAAATGGTAGAATATTGAATAAACCCAATAGACAAGGAGAGGAACGAGCATAGAGAGCTGCTTGTCGGTCATAAAGGGAAGAATAGGAGTCGGATGGAGGGGTTCGGAAGAGGATGTCATGGTTTGCGTAGGTGGATGTGGTAGGATATAGTGAGCCGCCTGACCTAGTGGCTTTATGTAAGTCGCTTGTAATTATACCTCTCGTCGAACCGAATATTCCCAGTTTTAAGTTATTATTGCGTGAATTGATTGTGAATGAATTGTGATCGATTCTATAGTTCGTCAAGACCTTTTCCAGAGGCCAATCAACAGGTGAGCCAAGTCTATTAATACGTCAAGGTATTTTTCTTCTTCTTCTTTCTAATTATGCAAATGACAGCATAAGGTAGAATAAATTAGTAAGCGAGCATTATACGAATCGTGTGAATGTTTGCTTTAAAACATTCTTGCTCTTGACCTCTTTTATTCCCAATTGTGTTTAGCCACCTTCCGATTACCACAACCAAACAACTACAAACTCAATACCTAGACAGTAATTAAGGAGGTTCTTTCTCCAAAGCAACGAATTCAAGAGTTTGCCTATTATTATTCCTCTCGGCTGGTTTCTCGAACATTTCATGATCATTTATCCATATCTTGGCGTAACATTACGTGGAGCTAAATTTGGGGCCAATTATGTCGTGTCGTGATGATTTGTGGCCAACCACATGGGATAATAATAATACCATTAACCTTTTATGGCGTTATCTGAATAATGATAACTTTGTGACTTGACGCCATTTGTTATTATGATCGATGTCGCCTGCTAAACTCCCTTGCCGAGAATTGATACAATGGGTATGGATGGGCTGTTCATAGTCCTTTCTGGTAAAATCACATCAAAGAATGGCTCTCATATAAAGTATTATTACGGGTAAGAGCCAGCATATATGGTAATAGTAATGCGAGGTCGATTATGCAACGTCGGAGTTGATATGGCATGCTGCATAATAATAAAACCGGATAAAACATGTTTGTTAAAACTAGCTATATATAGCAGATCATCTACATTATTACAATGGAGTTTTTTGGAATGAAAGTACAGTGGAATGAAAGTACAGTGGAATGAAAGTTCACTTTAACGAAATCTCACTTTAACGAAGATCGCTTTATAACGAAGTTCTTCATATAAAAAGACAGTTCACTTAAGCGAACTTTCAGATTAACGAAGCAAAATCGTGGAACGAATGTCTTCGTTAAAGTGAATTTCACTGTGTATTACGATTATTAACTTACTCGACTAGTATTAGTATGTTTTATTGGGTGTGGCTATGTAACGTACGAAAAAGGCCACATTTGAAAACAGCGTTTATATCATATCACGTGTATTAGCAAATAATTTGTTGTGTCCCCAACTCGGACATCCCAATGATCCCTCGTAATTCTACCGGCTGGATAGCACTCCTAATCATACCAGGCGCATTTATCACTGGTGTGGTATTGCATCAAAAGGCAGAGCAAGAAAGAGCAGTATGTGAATGAAGGAATTACTATCAGTCATCTCGTTAAAACGGAAACAATGTGTACTCACCAAAGCATGCATCACATAGCGATCAAAAGAAATGGATCCATCTGTCCCGTAAGTAGCATAACATAATGTTAGCATGTACAGATAAACATAACAATATTGTCATATCATACAGATTGGACCCTGCCCGTAAAGCAGAGCTGCTTAGACAGCGCGAAGAAGTATTGAAGAAACTACACGAGTATAAACGTGAGAACTAACAACTATATCTGCAGCTGTATGTGGGCTGCATTTGATAATGCCACTGGCATGCCATTACAACATGAGGTTCTGCTAGGGCAGATAGATACTAGCATGTGACCCGTAAATATGTACCAAAATACATCTATAAGCACAGTAAGCAACAGTCTTTATGTTCTTTTCTAGCTTTCCTGGTGTATTCAAACTTACCCATTGAATTCATATAAACAATATCTTCATATGATGGTATGCCAATAAATCCCCAGCACGGAAAGTTTCCTAATTACAAGAGTCGTCTTCGCATATGACAAACCCAAAGTCAATGATGATGGAGGGGCCTTCCAATGCTTTGTCAAGAGTAGCAATCTCACAAAGTCTTGGAATCTTGCCTTGTTGTTACCAATGCATAATTTTGTGTAAATTTCGCACACTCGACGCTTGCTGCCAGCCAGGTTCATCGTATTGTAAAAGCTCAGAGATGTAGGCCGTTTTTACCAATCCAAAAAATAATAATAATACTACATATATGCCTGCGGACATTTTCTTATGACGTTTTTGGTAAATTAAAAAAAAGCATGTTACTGAAATTACATAATGTTAATTAATGGAGTGGCGTGTGATAATAATAGATAGTAATAAACTATGGTGAGACAGATCGACCCCAGTAACTCACCCAATAGAATTTTCGTTCCTCGATCAACCATTCTCGACATCGCCAACTTTTGGTTGAGCTTCCCCCCAATGGACGTATTGAAGAACAATTTCGCAGAGTTACTGCCTACAATCAAGCAAGCAATAGATGAAGCTAATTTTATTGCGATAGATACTGAATTGACCGGTTAGTCAGTTTACGCGGAGAAAGAGACCGCGTAACCGCATTGAGCAATGATAAAAAGCAGATTCTTATTTTCTTTTTCTTTTCGCTTTGTCAACGCAATCGTTCTGACAAAAGGATTAGGTGAACGCATTGGACGAAACAGGAGCTTCGATAGTCCGCAGGCGAGATACGCCAAAGCGCGCGCTGCGGCAACAAAGGTTTCATTTTTTTGTTAATTCTTATCTGATACATTAAAATTTTATTTCACTCTTAAGAGAGTTACTGAACCTTGTACCTTGCTATTTCTTTCTCCACATTTACCATTTGATTAAACGTCTTTTGAATTTTCCTTCCTTCCTTCCTCCCGTCTTTCCTTTCATATCCTAACAACAATTCAGTTTCTGATCATACAATTTGGCCTGTGCACGTTTACCTATTCATCCAAAGATGACAAATTCATTGCTCGCCCATTTAATTTCTACATATTTCCAGCGAATGCTGACCGCAGAGACACAGACGATGTGGTTTTCATGTGCAGTGGATCTAGCTTGCACTTTTTGTCAAACAACAATTTTGATTTTAACAAGTTAATAGCTGATGGTGTGTTATGGTAAAGGAAGGTGTTCGCGTGCGAGAGAAACAATATAGAAATGGAAGGTGGTTTGGTATCGAGGGTAGTGGAGTTGAATAATAGATGTATTACGGTAATGTTGAATCAGAGTAATTGCTTGCGTAGGAATACCTTTTATGAACAAATCCGACGAAGAAATTTTGTCGCAAAGGAGATCTCACACTGCACAACGGCAGCTAGGTAACAATCTCTACGTTTGCATACTCTTTCCCGTGATGACAACGCAAATCATAGCTTATGCTTCAAATCATATTCACAGAAAATCCGCCCGAGGCTGATGTTGTGGAAGCGGCCGAGAAGGCTATGTATGTAGGCTTTTGGCTATTTACGTTTTTGCAAATTAGATTCTTTTAGCAACAAATATCGTTAACACGACGAAAATCTTAATTAGAAAGTCAATTGAAGCATGGTTACAAAACCCGGTCAACGATCAGCTTGTTGTCGAAACGCCCACTGTTAGACACAAACGGTTCATTTTTCAGCAAGTTAGGGCGAAGTGAGTGTTTATCAGTGGAATGAACTATCAACCTTTGATGGTGCTCATATGAGAATGCGTACGTGGATTAATGCGTTTGATTTTTGTTAGGTTCAATGGATTCGTAAACGGTGATAGTAGACCAAAGTCAATCGTGTTCATGCGATTAACTGAAGAACAACGCGAGCGGAGATTCAAAGAGGATGATGCGATAGTATGCAAAGAAAAATCGTTCGTGATTATTGTCTACTTTTTTAAATACTCACTCGCGCGTTTTCTCCGTTCCCCTCATCTGCGAAATACAACAAAGCTCTCTGACGTCAATTTTCGCGACGTTATAGAAATGTTGATTGAAGCGAAGAAACCTATAATCGGTCATAATTGTTTCTTGGATTTATGCCAAACGATTCATCAGTTTTATGAGGAAGTCCCGGAGAAAGTACGACAATTCAAAGCGCTTGCTCACAAACTTTTCGAAACGTAAGACTTATTTGTGAAGACTGGCTCGTACTTAGTATCATTTGAAACTGTTTGCTGGCTGAATCAGTGTGTACTGGCTGTAATATTGATGTAATTATTTATAGTATTATTGACACCAAACACTTGGCATCTTCACACGAAAAACTCCAGGTTAGTACTGTTATTATTTATTGTGCCTCTATTTTTTATGGATTATGCCTCAACTTTCCATGTCACCCGTTTAATTGACGTTGCTCCAAAACAAATGAGGCTCATCTTATTAAAACCGGTGTTCAAGATACTCTCGAAATGGTCCAGAGACGTCCTTTCGCTGATTTGGGGCCAAAAATTGGTAAAATTCTTTTATATTCTTTTTCAACAAACCAAGTTCGGCACATTCACGTCCAAATGTCGCTAATCCCCATTGATCGTCCTAGTAATCGACCCGACGTTTACTAAATACAAACTTAACGATGCCTCTTTGTATCATGAGGCGGGATATGACGCTTATGTAACCGGATTTATATTTGCTCGCTTGGTTGCTTTCATGCTTCATGAAAACGGTAGGTCTTATCTTAGTTTGCTCGTGTAAATTTGACGAACATGATATAGATCATCTAAGCCGAACCTCCCACCATTGCAATCGCAGAGGAAGGGAAGAGAAATGCATACTCTTTCCTGGATGATGTCCCTGAAGGCGACATTCCAGTAAAGAAAGTAGACGATGAACCTGTCGAGGAACAGGATGAAGATAATATGGATTCCGAAGAGAAAAAGTTTATAGATTTAATGTGGACTTCTCCAAAAGTCATTGGATACTATAATAAATTACATTTGATGCGATCGGATTTCAAATACCTTAATCTGACTGGAGAAGATGGATGTAAGTATATCCGACACCGTTTAAACAGAACGATTATCACCTTCAATTTCTTGCTTCGTTTCTTTACATCCACGAATCACTCTGTGAATGAACTTTATCATCCTTACCTTTTGTACTATTTCTCTGTGACATCCGCTTTCGCAGGTCCGTCACCAAAAGCAAACGCATTTCTTCTTTCCAATATCCCTCAGAACTGCTATCAGTCCACCCTTTTGACAATCTTCGAAGATTTCGCACCAGTTTTCGTCAGTTGGGCAGACGATTCAAATTGTTGGCTAACCGTAAAACACGATAAAAAATGTGAGAGGTTAAAAGAAATAAAAGTAAGAGAGTTGAAGTTCTTTCAAGAGTTTATGGAAGGCAAGAAGAGGGCAAAGAAAGCACAAGAAAGTGGAGTGACGGCAGAGATGGGAGAAATTACGATCGTTTCGTGGGGAGAATGGATCAGAGATATTGTTTGGGAAGACGTGGACCAAAAACAAGCGGAGAAAGAGAATGAAGAGAATGGGGAAGGTAGTAACAAAGAGCTCGATGAAAGTAAGTCGAATATCAATGGATGCTTCCATTCTTTTGCCTTACTTCTTTCCACTCACCCTCATGTCATGACTCTCTCTCTGCGTGATCTTTTTCCTTTTTTATAGCAATACCAATTATTTCAAGCACCAAATCCGGGCAACCGCCGGCAGATAGGCTTCCGTTCCCAACGAAAGACGGTGAGGCTACCCATTCGGTTGAGGTTAACAGATCTGCAGAAGAAACCTGGGGCCAGGCCGGGATCGAGGGCAATGACAGCGCTAATAATGACAATGTAAGCAGCGAGGCCAACAATGCTATCTCACCAATCACGCTTGACTCTGCAAGTCAGAGTAAGCGCAGGATTGATGATGAAGTAAGTGGAAGGGATACCAATGTATGCGGGAAAAGTGAGAATGAGAGTGCTAAAAAAAGTCGAACGTGTTAGACAAAAAATATATAGAATAATTAATATAAATTGGGTTTTATATAAACTGCAAATATTTCAATACCCTTCCCCGTTTAATCAATAACTGGTTCTTACATAACAAAAAAAAACGTCTTCTCTCTTACATCGATACACACTTGCTTTACACGCTCCTTTTCTCTGCCACACTCCTAAAGTCTTGGATGTGAGTTAGCGGTGCAATAATTTTTGCATTATTATATCAATTTTGTAATAAATAGATTGGTTGCGACAAATAAAAGTTGGAAGTGAAACGAATTGTGAAATGCGCGAAAACTCGATAATGAATAGATGAGCGAAAAGGAATATATATATAAGCTCTATGAACGAGCTGGTGACTTTATTACTGTAAGAAATAACGTGCGATCCAGAAATGATAGATAATACAACTGAATTTTTTAGCAAGTTCGTTCGCAAATTTCCGTACAAACAGTCGCTCATCTCGTGGTTCCTCGTGTTGCCGGCGGCATAAACCGCATGCCAGCGTTGGGCGGTCCAGAGAATGGTCGCCTGTTAGGCGCTAAAAGACAACCATACATTAAAATAAATTTTAATCTCGTTCCAACATTTTGATTTGTTTGCTTACCCTTTGAAGCTTGACCGTTTCGCACTGGGGAATACCCATGTATACGGGGACCGTTCGCAAACGTTGCATCTAGTATTTTAGAGCAAGGGTCAGGGTTATTATTATGAAGCAAACAATATTGCTGCATGAGCGCGACGTAACTATACCTGAATATGAATTCCAACTATGTGGTTGGCTCACGGGAACGCGCGGATCCAGGATGTTTGCGCGTTGTGGTTGCCGCTGGGGTTGCCGTTGTGCTAGTGATTGTCCTAGTGGTTGCTGTGTACAGAGTCATCGATAAAAATAATAAATAGATTGTCTTTATAATTAATAGCAATTTGCTGGAAGATGTTCTTACTATTACGTCATTTGTCGTTCCTGGTCTTCCGTTTCCGGTTGCATTTCTAGTCATTGTAGGCACCAATGTTCTACGCTTTAGCTGGTCGTACATTGACTGCAATTGTGGATAAAGAATAACACAATATCCGTTATAAGTATGACGTATAATAAAAAAAGCCTTTGTATTCGAACTTGCCTGTAACTTTGTAAACTGTCGACCCTTTTCTTGGAGCTGGTCGTTGATTTCAACATTTTTCCGTTTTTCCAACTCCAACTCCTTTTCTAGAGCTTGGTGCGTGATCGAGATGGCAATTGTAACATCGATATACGGACTAATATAAAACACCCGCCTATTTATTCCTACCTGACAGCTTTTCTCTTAATGCTGCCGGATTGATTATAAGAAAACCAAGGTTAAAATTAATCTTATGTCTAGCATATTAATTAAACAAATAACGACGATGAATTACCGCAAAACTCGGTTCTTGCTTCTCTATTAAACATATGCAAATGCTTTTCAAGTCTTTGGTATTTCTCCTGTAAGTCTCTGTACATCATCTCCTGGAAACATGCTTCTTGGGTGGTCTGATATGTCCAGAAAGAGAGCGCTCGTGTGGCGATTTCCATTATTATATCTGGACGAAGACCTGATAAGACAGACTAATGGAACAATTTGTGCGTTGAGATTATATCACTAATAATTTAAACATTGCGTTATACGTACTGATTTATAGTCTTCGCTAGGATTGAGTTCGATGAAGACTATATCGTCACTGTATTTGTTATATTAAATTAGTTACAGACAAATGATGCAATTTCAAGAACAATAGCTATTAACCTACTTTTCCGTTAAAGTAGTCTCGCAAGCAGGGCATACCAACGCCGAAGTAAATGCGCTGTTTGCACAATTAACTAGAAATAACGCGTCAATATTTGAACAAAATATAGCCGTATCGATTCGATATAATGTATTTACCACAGAAAATGTCTAGACGCGTCCAACAGTTGATACAGATACGTTTTAGTTTTATGTGCTCGCTACTTGTTATTCTGTTTATTCTGTTAACACGTAAATACTCAACGTGAACATGTAGTGACACAAGCCCTGCCTTCGGAATTTAGCAGCTTTCGACATTGCACGACATTGCATCTTAATTCGGTTTCCATAACGAGATATGCGTATAGTATGCGTATGCGTATGTGTATCAAGTGTAAGAAGGTATCAAATAAGCAACACGTCCGGATGAGAGGTAGAGAGGAAAGTATAAGAAGGTATAAAATAAAGCAAACCAGATGAGAGGAGAGGAGAGAGGAGAGGGTGTATATATATACATATTCCTCGTAAAGTCGGCTTTAAACTTGGGTAACACAACCCTTGTAATGCCGACACCAGGCATGACTTGAAAATAAACTCAAGCTTTACAATAATGCAGAATTTCTTTCAATAACCTTTTTAGTACAGCAATTTGCGTGCAGAGATGTTGTTAAAACCCAGATTATAAGCATGTCGGCATATTTTTACCGACGGCATAATCGAAGCGCAAGAAATTGTCTGTTATTGGACAATTGTGCATTTTTCATGCCTCTAAAAAAAGCGAATAATTAACGGCATAATTTATATTTAATTTCAGATGATGCAAGCTGAATTTATATTAACGCGCCCGTGCATATTAATTATATGTTGTATTAGTATGCACTATGTAAATGAACCCTGGACGGGATTTACTGGACAATGTAATTTTTGTTATCACATGATTAAATTTTTCACGATAAAAATTTACTCTCCGATTATGCTCCTTTGCTACAAACTAATTCGATGCCCTGTATAGCGATATCGACAATAGCTAACCGCCAATTTCGATCCATTTTACAACACAATCATTTTAAACCTCTGTGTAGACTAAAGAATGTCAATCAAAGACAAACGTTTTTTGACCATAAAAAGGCAACCTTCACGTCCTGGAGTGTCCAAGAAGCTGCGATACAATTCTCGTGGACAAAACTCGGTCTTATCGCTGTAGGCGTTCCTCTAGCCGTCTATGCTTACAAGGTGCGACTTGTTGTTTGAGACGAGTCCAAGAAAAAAAAAAAAAAAAAGAGTACATGTATTAAAAAAATTTCATTCTCAAAAAGATTCGAGACTCACGCAACTTGCCACATTGATTCAGTGTACTATGTTGGTTTTGTTTCAAAACAAACTCATTTATGTGCCATATCTCCCGCCCGGAAGTCGTCAGATGCAATTGGATAACACGCGTGTAGATAAACGGATGCTATGCAAAAAAGTTCACGTATGGACGCCGGATGGCTGTAAACTTGCTGGAATAATTGCCCGTGCTAAAAAGTCGAATGAGATTCAGGCGGAATTGAGTGGAACGTCTTCTTGGCGAGACATTGATGAAAATGATCCGGTCATGATTTATTTTCAAGGGTGAGTGCGTTTGGAGGGAGAAAACGGGGGAGGAGAAGAGACTCGTGAATTTGACCATCTCTTTTTACAAACATGTTTGTTGACTCTTATATGCTGACAGGAATGCTGGTACTATGCTTACTCGTCTGCCGGCATTTGAGCATCTTCTTTTACATTCAACCAAAGCAATCCCAAACTTGACTATAGCTGGGATAGGTTATCGTGGATACTGGTCGTCTACCGGTCGTCCGTTCGAAAAAGGTCTCCAACGCGATGCTCTTGCTATCTTTGACTTTGTACGACAACAATTTCCGAGAAATCCGTTATACTTGTATGGCCATTCACTAGGTGGTGCTGTTATGCTCTATCTCGCTTCTCATCCACATGTACAAAAAGAGGTAAGAGGCATCATCCTTGAAAATACGTTTACCTCTTTGCAAGACATGGCAGCCGCCCTGTATCCTCAGAGCTGGCTGCCGTATAAATACCTGGCGCGTAGTCCGTACATACTCCGAAGTCGATGGGAAAGTGAGAAGAGGATAAAGGATGTAACTACACCTATTCTCTTCTTGTCTTCTGTTGATGACGAATTAATACCACAGTCCCAAATGATGAGATTACGAGGCAATGCGACTAATGCAAAATTCACGACATGGGTAGACTTTCGCAATGCTTTGCACATGAATACGTACATGCAGGATGGATATTTGGAAGCCATAAAACAATTCATTGATAAAACATTATAGCAATTAGTTGCCTGCATAACAGAGATTGCTCATCATCACACTTTTATTATCATCTTGTAATTACGAGCTCTATCAGAAAATTCACTTTTTATGGTCGACCTGAAAATCGATAGCTTTCAACTCGAAAAATATCTACATTGATACAGTAAAGGTATTTAATGATATATATTCGTCTTTTTTTCTTTCTTTTTACAATACATGACAAAAATAAAAGACTCATTAGTTGAGCATTCGTCAGTTATTAGACATTAATTAATAATAGTAATAAGATTACTAAATTACACATTAATATTAATAATATTTTAGTAACTAGATTAAATCAAATTTGGTGCCGGAAATGTCAGTGTCTATATATAGTAATCTTGTATAATTCTTGAATTTTCTTCTCACACATTTCATACCTCCATCATTCAGTCACATCATCATATGCCAATATCTTACTCATAAACTCTGCATAGCTGACACACTTTGCCCGATGTTTCCCTACCAGTTTACTCAGATCATCTCTCCTCTCTATATACGAATGCCTATACATGGAGGCCGGAGTATTGAAAATAGAATGAAGGCAATTGCGAAATGCTTGCACTGCTGTAGCCCTGATCAAAGGACCTAACAACCGTTTACTCACGACCATACCCTGACTGATAGGACCAAACATTGACACTTTGCTATCCCGATGAACGTCCACCGAAAATAATCCATTAGATAACGGATTCACTACAATTACTGCATTCCCAAAATCACCCTTAATCGTATTCTTTTTGTAATCACGCCAATGCTCGTTCCACACAATATGCACATGATCATTACCGATATGTCTCTTTTTCTTTACCATCTTAATATCAGACGGGTCATTAGGCATCTTGGTCACATCATGAAATATTATTTCCATACTGGAATCACAGTAATATGTCGCGCTCTTTCCATTGGCACCCGTACGCTCTAATCCTCCTACATACCCAGTATGAGTAGCTAGATCGACTTCCCATCCTAGACTACTCACAAACTCGTCATACATTGCACTTCCGCTCACGTTCCGTAATATACTCAACTCATCCTCCTGTCCGGCCCCAACATACAGCACCGCAATCTTGATAACTTCTCTCGGATGTCTCTTATCAAGTAACTTCAGATCACGATTTATGGCAGTCGATTTCCTCAAGAGGGATATATAACTCTCTTTAAATGTCTCCGGAGTTAACCATCCTAAATGGCTTAACAACAGTCGACAGTGTTGATATGGCTCGGTTGGTTTCTCAGACTCGCATGGAATACACGGCAAGAATGACTTTGATAACGAGAAATCTGCTCCAAGTGATAGGTGTGACGTCTCCCTCGAGTATAAGGGAGTCTTTGGCATTTTTGATTTTTTCTGGCAATCTCCCACATGAAATATACTATTCCTAATTGCCTTCACTGTATCATACCATGACTTTGCCTGATCATCAGACGCATTCTCATAAGATATCTCTTCCGTTATATGTTTGTCCATTTGAAGTTTGACTAAATCCAGACGGGGTCGTTGTTCAGGCGGGGTTGGAGTTACAGCGCGCACATTACCAGATGGAGAACAGTCATGGTAATTGGTACCAATGTATGTGAGTAGATTATCCAACGAACTAGGTTTGGGAATGAATGATGATACAGAGGATGTATTTGATGTTGGAGAATCGTTGGATTCGCTAGAAGGTTCTGTCACTTTCTCTACGTCTATCGCATTAATGTTGTCGTTACGTTCACTTGAGAATGACAATCGTCGTTCTTGTTTGCTATATAACGCACGATATTTCTTCTTTGGCATCATTTCTCGTCCTTCTAGTTCATCAGTCATACCAATGTATTTTGTCTTACTTGATTCATCTTCATGTAGCGCCTTGAAAAACAGTCTTGAATCCCATGCGTATCTCCCAGTGATATCCCTAATGATCATCCTTGATTGAGTAGATTTTTCACCTGGTACTTCGATCAGTGTAATTATCGTAGTATCATTAACTGAAAAGTATTGATAGTGTTCGGATAACTCGTCCTCCGCAGGATCGGACCCAACTGGACCAACAAGAGAACTACTTGTCATAGCAGCACCATGAATCGGAGAAAAATTGCCCAAATGATGAGTCAAGTGAAGTAATATGCACTCGGCTACATCCTTGATCAAGTCGGGATCCTCTGGATAGTCCGCCCCCACTACGTGCACTCCATGTTCATTGTTAAGTGTAGCACTGAGACATACTCTACGTTCAGCCTTTTCGAATTTTATTGGAGAGTTTTGGACTGTCTTTCTGCTACGAGATTTTTTCGGTTTTGTTGGAAGTAATTTATCATATTGTTTTTGAGGCTCGTGCTGGAAAGTCAAAAGAGAGACATAAGTAAGATAAACAAGTCTAGTCAATACCGTTAATGCTATAAATGCTACTTACTCCCGTAACTTCGAAAGTCAAACCAATTACGTCAAACACAAGTTGATACAACTCTGTCTCTGTAAAGATTCTTGGAGGAACGGCCATTAACCAGTGATTAAGACATTGAAACAGTTTGGTAATAATAAAACCTGAACAAAAAATAGTGATATTATTAGCAGGGAATAGCCATGGTTCTAGTAATAAGCATCACAGATTATATACCTCTCCCATTCCTCTGAGCTCCTCTCTGCAAATTTAGATGTCCGTCCAAAGCCCCAATGAGGTTGCTCAAAACAACTTCTATGATACTTGTATATATCTAAATATAAAACACAAATTAGTTATAGTGCGACTACAAATAAAAATACGTATAAATTGATCTACCTTGCTATCATCGTTCTGATTCGGACGATTGTTCTGAGCAAACACGCTCAAGCAGTCGGCGGCGGCGGCTACAACGGGAAGATGGTTCCAATATAATTGATCAACTAAGGCATGGAAGCATTCCTTCACTATAGATTTGTGCGGCCTAGAATGGATATTGAAATGGTAGAACACGGAAAGTATAACGTTTAGTCAATCATGTAAATAAAGAGATTGTGCACCGTTAACAGAAAATACTTACCATGCCACTGATGTCAGCTCATTATAAGCAAGAGTACAGATGCCATGTAACAGCATTATATGAGTATCAGGATTACGCACACTCTCTTCAGTATCGAGTGATCGTATAAGAGTATCCTTAAGCGTCAATCGCACCTTAATTAACAAATATAAGGCGTGAATAAAGAAGACACTTGCATTGACTCCCACTCGCAGGGGCTAACATTGCTATACAACATGTAATTATCAAATCTAATCCTCACATCCAGCTCGTGACTACTTCATGGTTCGTATATTATCTTTCGACTCTCACATTAATAACAGCATACCTCACTCAATCTAATCGACTTTACGCTTCCAAACTCGTTCCCGTCCAAATCATTGTCATCCAGATCAATCGACGCTAAATCCTTGTATGGCACTACTGGCACTTTGGCTGATGCAGATTGGCCCACAACACATATCAAAGAACACAATATTGTAATCGCATTCTGCCTGGTTAACTCTGGTATTGACGTGTTTGTCTGAGTTAACACATTCCTTGCTGATTCTATGAAACCGCTCACTAATATCTGGCATCCGGGAAGTCCTTGCGCAAATAATCGGGTGGAATTATTTATTATAGCCAAGGTTATTGCGGTATCTGGTTCGGCTAGGCCTTTGAGCATCAAACGGTAGAAGTGAGCATAGTAGGAAGAGGGAAGAGGCTGTTCGTGACGACGAGACATCATCTTGCACATTCCAGCGTATGCTTGAGCGCGACCCGGAGCATAGGCACTGAGTGTGTTAATAAAGAAAGACAATTAAAACCAATTATGAAGAGTACAGCAAAATTTGAACGCGAGACGGAAATTGTCTCTTTAATATGAAAACAAACGACTTACACAGGCATGTCACACGCTTCAAAAAACCACGGCGCAAAGTTAGTATATAATGATGGTAATGGGACGTTGTCATATGGTTGGTTGTTACGTATCTATTCGAAAATATACAATGTTAGTAAAGCACACTTGTATAATTGATTTTTTGACTCTTGGAAATTACCATTGAAAGCATGCTCCAGAGTTCCACCAATCCTTTAATGGCTTCCGAATGATTGGGAGATATCTAAATACAAGAAATAAGCATTAAATACTCTCTCATCATTGTTTGAAATATCAGAGTATCCATATTACCTCAATGCGATTGACATTGCCTAACGCAACTAGCATGTTCTTCCATATATAAAGAACATTCGCTGACGTCCAGGGAAGTCTTTCTATGTATAGGAATTCGGCACATCTAAAATTGCCTAATGTATTCGATAGTTTCTCGGTGCTATAATTGTGCTGGGTGAAAATCGATGAAGCTGACGTCCTGTTGGACTAAGTAGTGATAAAGACAACAAAAATTAATATAAGCACACAATTGCATACTTGTTACTTATATGAAATAATATTTGGCATATTCATACCTTTATATTAGAATCCTCAGGAGTAAAATCGCTATTGCTGCCATAACATTCATCTTCATCTGCATATGTATCATCCTCAGTTTCATCTCCAGATGCAATACTCTCGGAATGAATAGATCCACTACTACCAAACCCAAAATTGAACAATGACTGTCCACCCAATATTTTATTCTCATTGAGCGGTGACATGTCCTGATGGATGCTCACAGCCCTGCGGACAGGTTTACCATTATCAGGTGTCTTCACATCAGGCGATACCATATCCTCACGTGACGAACTGCTCCCTGTAGTCTTATGTCGCGACTCGCGAAGAGACAAATGACGGGTTTTATTTTTTGATGGGAGACGACGATGTGAATATTTCTCGTTTATGGCGTATTCAGAAAGACGTCTGTTGATTTCAAGCGCATCAAGGTCCACTTGGTAAAGATGTTTAGAGAGGATGCGAGTGAGGCGAATCATTATTTTCTAGTAAAAAGTCGATTACGATAACAGTGTAGAATAACAAAGTATAACCGTGAGAAATACAAAAGATGACGACCAAACATAAGAAGAGCAACTAGAAATATATCCGTAACATCTTCTGAATACTTACTCTCCACTGGGAGATTGTTTGTGACCACCGAGTAGCTATGCTCATCTCAAATGTCAGCGCTTGCCACAAATCGCCTTCTTGCGACATTGATCGCACAAATGCATTAAATATCGTCTAGCATATTAAAAACAGAGACGTGTTGTGAATATACGAATAACCATATATCTCTTAGATGTCTTATTGAACATCGCAACCTACCTCCACTAAATAATTCACAAAATCATCAGCCAACATGACTGATTTTATTGCCCCATATTTATCATTTCGATTCATTATCCCATGTTGAATCTCTAACAAATTTGCCAGTATAATCTCCCTGTGAGGCCAGGGTTACAACGTTCAAATTATCTGTTAACTCCATGATTTATATCGTATTTACATAAAAATAAACAAAGCATACCAGGTCTTTGGCTCCAGATCGATAGTACATTCAGCCATCATTGCTCTAAACAATGATAACGCGTCTTTATAAATGGTAACCTGCGATTCTGGTTCGAGATTTGCCATCTTGCCATCGGGCGTAAGCAACGGATGATCCATAAATATAAGACTCAATAGTTCAACGTATCGTTGAAGGTATTTATTCGCTTCAGTATAATTATCAATCGATAAAGTAGGAGATGGTGTTCCACCCGTATCTGTGGAACGGGCGTCATCGTTGAATGAACTGGTTGTGTCAAACGAAGTATTCGTTGGTACCGAGGACGTCATAGTAACAGTTTTGCGAAGGAAAGATGGTCGTTCTTCTTCCTATTTATTGAACAACAAGAAATCATTTGGTATATGTGTGTAGGCAGCAACGTTGGGAAAATGCAAAAAAATCTGCATATAACTCACTCCGCTGAGTATCCACATTCCAATAATATGAACTGCTCCTCGCACAATGTCTTTATATGCAGAACTACCAGGTGGCAGGATCAATGCTTGTCTCAATATTTCATGTATAAACTCGCGGTTCTCAGGTGTCAGTAATATTGACTTTAATATCGGAGTTGCTGGCGAAGGATGTGTAGGCGGAGTGTCGGTGGCCAAGTGGTTATTGTCGAGAGAGTAGTCAATAAAAAACTGTATCAAAATGCGTAGTATCGTTGGTGGACATTTTCTGAACCCGATTTCTAGAAGGAAATAGCGATAATTAGAATATACAGACATAAATCTTTCGTTTAGCGCTTATTTTCCGAATCAGCACAGCACCTATTCAACTTACTCTCTTCCGCTGATAATAGACCAAATTTCTTCGCGCATGCTGGAAACAGTTTCACCAAATAGTGCTTCTTAAATAGGTCGAAATGAAATTTGGCAGCAGCAAATGCAGCATCAATGCCCATTCCAACCGCAATTCCGTTATCATAAGCCAGATTCTCGACTGGAAATTCGTACGTCTCTTGCGGTGGAGTAGACCCAGCTGCCACATGGGCCAATCGAGCCAGACAGGAAAGATCATGTTTTATAAGCGCGATTACGTCATGTAACGTTGGCGGTTGAGGATTGGGAAATAACGGCATTCCATCTTCAGCTGCAGGAAGTAGTTGCATTATTAAACAATAAGAATTTTCTGCATTTGAACGCATCATTTTACAAGTCGCATCGCACGCACCTTTTATCAGTTCTTGTTGTAGCGTGATGCTACCCTCGTTTGAATCAAAAGTTTTCTCTACACTGTTGATATGATCGTACACAAACAAGTCTAATGATATTGCATTTGCATATAATCGAACAGCTTCCGCTAACTCTATGGTCTGGTCGTTAAGCCATAATAAAAGCAGTTGAAATCCTATTATTCGAATTCTAGGATGATTTCTATGCTCAAGGAGATGATTTAGTATTTCGGCTACACAAAAGAAATGGAGAATATATTTTAAATAAAGTAACTTGGCAAAGATATGCATTTCACAACGATGACCTTTCCCAATAAACTCTCTCTTTCAGTTTACACATGACGTACCAATTTCCTTTTTATGCCATCCTTTCCGTATTCTATCAGGTAAATACAGGAATACTTTTCGCAAAACCAACAATATTCTATTTACATGGGCAAACTCCTTGGACGAAAAGGCAATTGGGCGATCTGTCCTCTCTTTTGTCAACAAAAACAAATGTAAACAAACAATGATCTCATGCAAGAATTATATGAAACAAGATAATATATGAATGTATATTTGAGAAGAAGAAAAAAAAACTTCACAGTCAAACTTACGTCTTATTTTCTCTGCTTGATCCATATACGCTTTATACATTACATCGAAAACCGTATCAGAGTGATCTTGGAAGAATTGGGCTTGATCTAATTCATTAGCAGCGTCTATCACGACAATATGTGGGTGTCATAAACATTGAGTAGAGAATAAAAGAGAAACCAATTAGATCTTAGTGCTTATAGCTTCACTATCAAATAAATATATTAGTGATCTAATTCCTTTACCATCTCGTCCCATTACATACACACACTCTCACACACTCTCACTCACTTACGCGCACACATACGCACATACACGCATCGCGCGCACGCATACACATACGCACGCACGCACACATGCACACACACACACACACACGCACACACACACACAAATACATGCATTCATACACACATGCACACAAACACACACACATACACACATGGTGTCTCTACACCCACGTTAGTAAACCTTTATCCCACCATATAACCCACCGATAAAACTAATCAACGACATTATCCTCGCCTTAGATTTGTGTTTCGAATCGGAGAATACTCTTGTCTTTTTAAAGGTTCTCTCAGGCTTATCATCCCTCTGTGGGGATCTACTTTGATCTCTATTTATAATGTCTTTTGGGAATTTGCCAGTTGTCTTCCTTGATAGAGAAGACGAGTGACTGAGCGATGTATTTGGTGTATTCGATGAAGGTTCTTCCTCGGTTGGAGCAAGCGGAAAAGAGGTTTGGGAAGGAGAATTTAATTGGTATTGTCCGCTTTGCGGCCGTTTGATTTTGCCCATTATGCTACGCTGTGGTCGTCCTGGCGCTTGTTGGTCACGCTGTATGGCAGTAACGGTACTAGGAGAAGTAACAGGGGGAGAAGTGGTAGTGGGAGAAGCAGTGTTCATAGCTTCACTGTTGTTCCCGCCAAAAGTCAGTAACGCAATGTCCACTCGCTTCCCGAGTGAATCTGAAATAGACGGCCGCCTGGTAAACATCTGTTTAAACTTTGTCCCACTACTCGAATTCGCATTCTGCAACACAGCTGGACGATCATCCACACCCTGAGTAGCGCGTTTAGAACGATTAAGTGAAACTTTACGTTTTATTGAGGTAGAGGCTTTCACAGACGAACGCGAGGAGTTTTCGCGTGGGTCCATTGTATAGGCTCTTCCCAGGTAGAGTCTGCAAATTCAAAGGAGTGCTGTCTACGAATACAGTTATGAATTGAGTACTGTCAAGGAAGGCATGAATGAACCATAAGTAGCGAAATTGTGTAACTGTTGAAAACAAGACATGATTGGTTAGATTCACTGGGGTTTTTTTTCGGGGTGTAGATTTCTAGAAATTACCTCGATCTAGCGCTAGAACAAATACAGTAAATTCGGTGCGAGCCATACAAACAATTCTCACCTATTGTTAAATTCTGGATGATGAACCGGGCAAGTGATCGCTACCATTGTGTTGGTCAATCAACATACCTGATGCACACAATCGTAGAATGAATGCAAGCCTTTAACGTACCTGTGCTTCCTAGACATCGAGTATGGACGATAAATAACGTCTGTGGAATTTCCCTATAAACTGTTGACGAAACTGTTCTAATCATTAATTATTTGGTTTTGTTTTTTTGCATCATTCCGTTTATTTCTCAATGACACATATGACTGGTTTGGAGCGAGTTCCGTAAAAGCAGAATTTCTATGACTAAGCAATATTTGGAAATGGATAATATGCTTGATAATCATCTGCCAAATGTATTACACAATAGCCGAGATAATGAGCTTGCCTATTAGCAATTGATAGAGCACCAAACATTACGCTTCCCCATGAGGAAGTACCAGTAACGTCTTCAGATGTGGACATTCTATTACTACTGATATCCGTGATTTTTGCGAACGGTTGTTGCAAATGTTTCCGTATTCTAATGCATTTAGTTCAGACGTTTGAAGAGATGTTCAACTAGACAATTTAGTTGAGTCTGAAGTAAATAATAATGTCTGCGAATGCTCATTTAAGATCTACTGAGAATTTAGGCAGAGTTGACATGCATATTCAGGAAAGAATGTAGTTAAACGGTGTTGTTGATATGATACTTGTTGACGCTTTATACCATATATTGATATTAGTAAACAGAAAGATAATTTCAGGATTCGATACAAAACGTTAATAATAAAAATGCGGAGCTAAAAACAACCATCTCGGAATGACAATGATATATTTTAACGTCACCAAACTTGGATTAGCACATTTTGATCTCGCGTGGCTAAGAAAAAAAAAACCTTTTTTCTAACAGAACATTTTTTCTCATACAAAAAAAGTCTGGTCCTTGAACAATAGAAAAGAAACAATGGAATGCTGAGATGTTAGAGGGGGTGGGGAATATTCCAAATTGGCCTACTAATTAGGATTAGTAAATCTAAATCTCTGCAAAGTCATGAGCTCATTCAAGAACAATGGAGAAAGAACTGATTATACTGATTATACTGATCATTGACATTTATATTTATACTGATTTTGACATTCTTATAGTTATGAGAGGTCTTTCTTTCTTTCGGCTTTCGAATGGACTGCAGGTGTTATTCAGAGACTAACCAATGAGATCTTTTTGCACGACGTACAGCCCGAGTTAAGGCTGTGTGTACTAGTACATACGTATACGGCTGAAGTCTTGTCTCCCTATAGCGCACATTCCCGTACTATTCAGTGGCGTTGAACTTTGATTTATGAAATGCAATTTCGTTTGGTTAAAGTTGTCACGATTATTCATGAGAATTAGACTATGCATCATAACCGCATGACATGTTCTACATCTTTACGAATTGCCAGGTTTTAATAATGCAATAAACTTTTGTGCATTACATTGATTGTGACACACGCCTGCCTCGTAACCAATAGCTTGGGGCCATTTCTACGTACTTTTCTTAAAAAAATCTATGTCATCCGTACCACCAAACGTCGACTGTACAATCCCATAATAGTGTCGTCAATGATATACTTCTCGTCCAATCATTGATTTGCCCTCGTCTCACAATAATTCAAGGACAACTTAATTCCTCATCTTTCCCTGACACTGTGGGAGATGAGGCCAGAATTGTTCAAGAATAAATCTGATTTGAGTAAAACCTTGCTCGGAGTTCGATTAGAGCTTTGATTGGGTAATGACCTATGGAATCGTACAAATAAACGTCCGCATGTCTTGGTTGCACAGTTCAAGTAAATAATCTCAAACTAACATCTCCCAGCAAACCATATTTCCTCCGCAAATACACTTGCCAAGTAAGTTTTAATCCGCTAAGCATGCACAGAGGAGAAGAAGATTGGAGTCACAAAGTAATTAAAAATCATAGAGTTTATTCCTTGTTATGGTTCAGTGTTTTGTAACAAATAAGATGTCGAAATAATAGGCGCCTATTATGGTTTCACTCCCTGGACCACGCCTAATGAAGTACAGTCACTCATTAAAATAGCCATAACAGGCACACCCTCCCTACCATACACATGGGCTTCCTTTACATGTAAAGTAAATAGACAAAACCAGCTTAAACTGGGCTTTAGCGAGCACCTCGTTGTGAATAAAGATACCTATTGTGGTTCACTCAAATTAATTATAATGCTATTTTTAACTAAGCATAGACGACTGTTTGGGAGCGGGCAGTGTCAATTTCTATGAATTACCGATTTTTCATTTGGTTACAAAAACGTTCACGTCCTTGTATTCGTTTCCAAGGACGGAAACAAAAAGTATCACATTATTTAATCTACTGCATGGAAATATCTGAATTTGCTTGGCATTCCAAACAAAGAGAATGAGGTTGTTCGATTCCCATACATGGTTAAGATTTGCGTTACCCAAAACCGCGCAAAACCATCAATATATAACTCGCATAAACTGGTCTACGAAGAATTTGCACGAGCCTCATATCATCCCTTCGCTTTCTACCCATAAGCATACATACTCTTAAAGAGTATTCAATACCTCGAGTAAATTCATTTACTCCCCCCCACTTTCTTTCTTCCTTAAATCCCCTAACATTGTCATACACTTTCCGACAAATTACACCAAACATCCCATCTAAATCCTCAATATGCGCTCAACCATCCTCTCTCTTCTTCTCTTCCTCTCCTCCGCCTCATTTTCCGCAGCCAACTATGTCGTGTCTAATCCAGGGACAGGGGTCATCTGGAATGGAGGCGACAACGTCGTAGTCGAGTGGACCGGTACAGACGAGAAATTCGTTGACGTAAGACTCGTTCATGGACCGGCAGCGAATCTGCAATTATACGATGTAATCTGTAAGGACGTCGACTCGAGTCTAGGAAAATGCAATTACCAGGTCGATAATAACATCCCTAGCGGTCGCGACTTTGCAATTACTGTCGGAAAATCCGCCAACCTTTATGGGTATTCTAGCTTTTGTACGTATTCTTGACATTAACAGTCGGTATTGAGTGAGAGGAGAATTGGGCTAAGAGTTGAGCACCCTTTAGGTGCCAATCCTTATAGATTACGTTGATTAATTCAATCCTTTATTTTATAGTCTCTATCAAAGCGAAGGGACCTCTTCCAGAGGCTAAAGGATGTCCTAATTTTGTAAGAATATTTCCAAGTCGACCATAACCTAACTCTATTTATTGCTATCAAAATCCGCTGACGCGTGTCTTTCTCGTTCTCTCCTTTTAGGGTGGCCAAAATTGTCCACAATCACTTCCCTGTTGCAGTGCCGCCGGATACTGCGGCAGTAGTGATGAGCATTGCGGTAACGGATGTGTGCCCAAGTACAGTTTTAATGGCAAATGCGGTTCCAACCCATCGCCACCTCCGGCTCCACCAGCTCCACCAGCTCCACCTTCTTCAAACGGACAGAAATGTGGCAATGTAATGTGTACTTCAGGCAGTCCCTGTTGTAGCAAATATAACTTCTGTGGTGCATCAACTGCTCATTGTGGAACTGGTTGTCAAGCCGGAAAGAGCTTTAATGGAAAGTGTCTGGCTGCTCAAGCTCCACCAAAACCTAAAAAATGTGGCAGCCAATATTGCAAGAGTTCGGCACCGTGCTGCTCAAAGGCTAACAAGTGCGGTTCAAACAATACAGCATGCGGAGCTGGATGCCAGCCCCAGAAAAGTTTTGCTGGCAAGTGTACCAAGTAAATATAAAGAAATGGACTTAGATAATAATGAGACAATAAATAGAAGGAACTGTTATTTATAGAATGATAAAATGCAATCAATTGTCGATTAAATAATTAACAAGAAAGAAGCATATAGTAAATTAATCTAATCACGAAAGTTCTGCTGCCAATAATGAGTATCAATGCTTCATTAATAAATCATCCGATTGCTTGTCCATTTAAACGAATCATTAAAAATTTGTCGGCCGTATTCGATACAAGACATGTCTCAACAGACCATCGTGTGAGCTTTGTAGTTTGGTTTGTACAAAAATAGTAGTAATTAAATAATGTATAATTCTATTCAATTGACGCATTCTGACGTGACGAGATGCATATCGCAGACATACAAGTTATCTAACTGCATAAAGCAATTTTTTAGTGTAACCGTTAATCATATTATAATGCGAGACTTGCAGCTGCACAATACTTCACAATTAATTGCTGCAGCATTTCTGCGAGGCAATGCGTTTAATCGAATTGATTTATTATGTACCCAAAAACTTTTGGATCAGAGCCCCATAAAACGTTAGTATTAGGGTCATGTCATCATTCAAGTGGCAATGCCACCCACATTTTTAACCGTGTTGCAGTCTAATTGTTGTTTTAAAACAACTCTAGATATTCATCTTGCCAGTATTTAAAGTTAAATATCTAGACCCTAACCTTGAAGTCCGTTTGCATTCCCTGTTGCTCGACATAACAGATAATAAAATATGTTTATATCAACAGACCAATAATTAATGAATAATGCATGCAGATTATTGATCAATGTAATGTGAACTATTATATGGGGTAGACTGCAACAAAACCACCAGAGTTCAAAACTATTGAACACCACAATTGTATTACAATCCCATTATTTTTACCTTGCAATTTTTAAGCAATCAATAACCTCCCGAGGAGTAAGAAATCCAAAGCAGTAGCTTCTTTCAGATTAGGTTTTTATTTAGATTAGCTATATGCCTAGCTTGTTGATATTCTTGAGCTGCTATATATAACAAAGTCTTCATTTTTAAGATTGTTAACAGAAATTTAAGATGATAGATATTAGGTACTATAGTGGCTCGGTTACATTTATAATCAGATAAGATGAAGATTTTCTCAGCTGGAAAGTTTTTCTGAGCTTAAAATAGTTGTCATCTATAAAGATATCAAAGTTAGGGCCTTTTTCATCTTTCATTGAATGTTTTTGTATTGTTGTACGAGCGGTGTTGTTGCTGTTAGGTATGATCGTATTATGCTGGGATTTCATCGATAATCGTTCGTACAATTGATTAAGCTCTCGACGCCGTAAACTTGAATAAGTTCAGTATATGCCGAAAGCTAGAGATTACCAGATTGAATTTCTACCATTAGATAGTGGAAAAGGTGTCGAACTTTGGTTGTTTATATATCTAAATTGCTACTGCAGTATATCTATTCTAAAATCTAAACGGTCCAGCCAATATTGATCATCTGACGTTCTAATAATATTATTATTAATCGTAAATCGCTATTTAAATACTATTATTAAATTCGCCGTATAACAGTACAACCATGTGGGAAAATATAGACTTTTATTTTGCAGTTTTGAAATTTGCCAAAGTATGTGAAATATTTCTTGAACCTTTCCCTTAACATTTATATATAATAAGTAATTCTTTTATTAATTCTTCTGTAATAAATAGAAAGAAAGAGAGCTCCGAGTTTTTTATTAGTAAGCATCTTTGTATCGATTCAATTTTTCTGCCATTGTTTGTATATCTTGCTGTGATTTCAATTTTTTTCTTTTTCACTAGCATTTTCTAAACTAAACAATTTATTTCCTGAACTTGAACAATTTATTTCTGCTCTTTCTCAAAATTGCTTAAAGTGCTCTTTAAAAGGTTGACTTGAATTGATAAACTCGTAAATGAAAATTGGTCGGACTGGCATTATACACTCATCTCAATCACTGATAATTTTGAGTGGACGTCCTTTCAGTTTTACTTGGTCTTTGATCAGTGTATAGAGAGAAGAAATTTGATTCTGGTTCACGTTATATATTTTTATTTATTTCAGTACAATTGGCTTAGGACGAGTTATTTTTATTTATTTCAGTACAATTGACTTAGGACGAGTAATATCTTTATATTCATCCCTGACAAATGGCCGAATATTCTGGTAAATATATTCTTGCCTTTTGTAATCCAATGGCGGAGGTTTTAGTATTAAAATAGATAAAGATTTAATTCTTTGGTGAATTCGGAAACCGTTGCCTTTGTCAAGATTTACGATAAACACGACGTGATTTCCGATGAGTTACACGAACATTTCTAAACCGCAGCATTCTCGTTTCACAACCGATAGAAAATGTACAACCACGAAATGAAACAGATTTCGATATATCGGGTTGACAGATGAAAATGAGACAGATTTCACCCGATGCGGCCGGATTTGTTTTATTTAATTTAATCCTCATGTATTTATTAGCTTTAGAGTATAGAACAGCGCAGTAGGCGCAGAACTCAAAATAGATATATAAGCAGTCGT